TTGATCGGCTAGGACAACTCGTAACCTTGACCCTATGGTAGAAGATTTTATTTCAAAGGAAGTTTTTAATTTGGCACTGCGATGAGAACTTTTTCTGATATCAATATATATTATTTCAATTGATCGCGTAACAAATTAATTACTTACTCACAGGATCTAATGAATATTGGAACCAGAATGAAATCTCTTACCTGAAACATACAATTAATAAATTAGATATGCTTAAAATAGAATAAATTAAATACTTGATCACTATAATCATAATTTATTTATTATTTCATTACAAAAATATAAATGATTTACGGTTATGACAGTTTATGAGTGATGGTACTATATTTATGTTAAGCAACGGCCCAGCACAGTCACCATGAGTAGCAATCTATGGGTAACCTTAATTTAATTACTTACAAACTGAAGAGGAGGTTCGAAATAATTTATTTAAAATACTATTATTTCGATTTAAAAAAAAAATGCCCTAGATAAAACGTTTTTTGAGAAAGTCTTCAGTCTTAATTGCATCACGTTGGCCCATAGGACCGGAATTGTAACCATAAATATCAATGAACCTAGACGTCAGCACAGATTCCCATTAAGGCATCGTTAGCAGTTATTCAAAAACGTAGGGACAAACTTTTAAATACATTGGTCATAGAACTAGATTCTTTTTTTCACGGATGTATATGTTGCTTCATCATGATTGTGCAAAGGTGAAAACCAGAATGTAATTATACTAAAAGTTGATGGGGAGAGGGGAGATATCATTCACGTTGAAATAGTGCAAGTCTTGTTTGTAAGTATAAAACAATCGAAATTTATGCTGTCATTTTTTTCAGTGATTGGTCTCTGTTTTTCATAGGGTTAGGACATTATCGAAAATATTAGATATGATTGACCATGTCTACACAATGCCTATGAAACAGGCTGTTATAATCTAAAATATAATCGGGATAAACGACAAGAATGAGTTAGAAATGAACTAATAAAAATTAAAAATTTGTAGAATGAAATTGTATAGCAGGGAACAGTTGTTAAGGGGACAATAAATATGTATAAACGAATTGGATATTTATTACAATATAGAAAACGGTAATTTTTTAATAATTTCTTAAATAAAATTCTTGGAGGGGCGCTGTGACCGAATGTGCACAGCACCGCCGTTGTCCGACAACCAGTTATATAAAACAAATTGATAAAAAATAGTCACGAGTTCGCGTCCCGGTGCTGGGGAATCTTTTAAATCCCTGCCCACACCCTCTGGTTTGGTAAAACCTCGTATAGCCCTAAAGGCGAGGAAGGAGAGGAACAAAAAAAAAAAGATTAAATTATAGAAATTGGAATTTTTTAAATTTATGAGTACCTCAGACAATATAGTTAACAAATAACAGGAATTTAATTTATACAAAATGAAAGAACAAAACATTTTTAAAATTTCAGATTAACTTGAACTAAAAACAACGTTCCGTCTTCTTATGGTATACAACTGTTATTTACTGATGGCTATAATAAAATAATAATATCTTGTTTACCGTATTTGGTTTCGGAGTAATATGGGAATTGATAAATACAATACATATGAATGAGAAAAAAACAAAAAAGAATCATTACTTGAATTCTCCATTCATTTGATTTGATCTATGAATTCATAGTATAAGCAACATTAATATTATAAGCGAATATTTATTTTTAGTAGTTATCATTATTATTCTTTCACACATTATCCTTGTGAGAATCTCTATTATTTACAACATATCTTTAATTTAACAGAAAAAAAATAAAACAATATAAATACAATAGAAGTGATTAACTTGGTTTGCTAGAAATTTGGATACAATGTTTTTAACACAACGAAGGCATGATTTGTGTTTCCTTGTTCGCAGGGTCTTTTTTATTCAGTATAAGGATCATTACGGCAATTTGTTCCCTAAAACATTATTTCAGCCCCAATGAACGTTAAGCTGGTGTAAGGGATTGATTTCTGGATTTGAAGGAGATGATAATGGCAGAAAGTTTATGCGGACCTTCAGTGGTAGACATAAAGAGATTTGTAAGGTCATATAGCGGTGCTAATGAAACCGTAAAAGTAGTTGAGTAGTTCGCACGAGAAATCTAGTACATTATACTTCGAGATTATACCACCTGCTTCTGTCAAACTCAGTATTGTATTTTCTGGCATCTGAAATTCGATTCACGATCACACCAAGTTATCGACACGAGATCTCGTTCTCTTCTATAAGGCTGTAGGTTGCGAAAGTAACTGTCTAAAGCACATTATTTATGTTCTTATTTTGGATTCTATACAAGTACTAAAAGGCTTAGTTTAACAGAGAAACGTAATTGAAAAATTGGTGGCTATTCCGACGATAAGGATTCAAAAGATTGGCTGGGAATGCTGGAGCTATCAATAGGCGGAACCGACGCCGCTGGGGAACCGAACCTGAGTATTAATCTCCGGGCATTGTCCCAGCGAGGGAGTCATTTTTTATTTCTTCACCGCCAAAGGAGAGGGGGGGGGGAGTGCCCCTTGAGGGGCGAGTAGCACTATAAGAAACAGATGCTGGAAAAACCCGAGTGAGAAGTCGTCCCTCTCCCCTGATTTATACAGCTCTTAGCTTATAGCAACCAGCTGAGACCAAGTCCCCGCAGAATGGATCAACTTTCTTTGACCTCCTAAATAGTGGCTGCCTTTCCGTTTGGAACCCATTTCGTCCCTACTTACTGCTAGTATTAAATAAATCGCTAGGATAAGCCATAGAACGGATCATTTTGCTACCTATTAGTTCCTATTACCAATGTCAAAACACTGATAATTCTTACAAAATGGTTTACTATTCCCAAATAGTTATACATTAAATATGTGTAGCATGTCACACTAAATAGGGCCTATTCCTTGCCGCTTTAAAAAAAAAACTAAACAAGAGTTGGCTCATTAATCGCTTTACATTTTTTTTATTTACATTGATTATAAAATCAGACTATTGACTAAAAAATAATTCACATAAAAGAAAATCATTTCGAGTTTATTTACACACTGAATTACACATACCAACGATCAATGAACACATACGAACTTACTACAAACGATTTCATGATAAATTACATGGACACTCCAACCAGCTAATTAAAGAAACGGCCACTAGTATAATGCCGGAGAACCCTAGAAGACAACTGAAAAGGGTCTGGATGAGGGACCTACTTACTTAATTGTATGTAAGTTAGTAAAAGTCACGGAAGGGATGCCGCTGGGTATTGCTTTTCCTCATGCCTATCAAGCATTTTTTTTAAAACTTTTTAATTTAAATTTTTAATTTATTTATTTTTTTATCTTATAATTGTGCCAGCTCATCTGCTGATTATCGATGATTGTAATTGACAGGTGCGGATTAATAAATAAAAGTGCTAAAAAAAATAAATAAAAAACAATTCGAGTTTAACGCCTATAAAATTCTTCATTCATCGCACCTTTTTTCCCAGTTTATTTTCGGAGAAGATGTTTATGCATTTAGTCCGCGGTACAGACACAATTTATAAAATTATTAACACTCGCATAAAACTTTATGGATTTATCTTCATTTTATGGTAACCGATTGGGATTTATATGGTAACTCAGTGGTAGAGCGCTGAGCTTCCAATGCTCAAGAGCCCAGGTTCAGATCCCGGCTTATGGCAGATAAATTATTTATTCTGTTTGATCGACCGTGGATCGACTCTGGTGTCTGGGGCACATCCAGCCTCTATAAAATGGTAACCCTTAATTAAATAATTAATTAAGGAGAAATCTTGTGGTTGAGCGAGATCTCGTTCAAATCACCTCCTTAGACAACCGTTGAAGAAGAAACAATACCTTCCCAACATAATATTAAACCCATGACCCTTCATAAGTTGCAATGGTACAGGTTTTTTTTTTTTATTTATAATAGCCTCCAACTTTTATCATTTTTTTTTTTTGCTTTTACTCCATTTGTTTTATTAGGAAATATAAATGAAAATTGATCACCTGAGCTATAAAAAAGTTGATATCGACCGTGCTCCGAATTCATCGAGAAAGGGGAATGATTTTTGGTATGTATTTTTTTAAATGCACTGTTATTGTTGAATAAGAAGCGATGAATGAAAAACTACTTGATGTATATAATTAGCAATTGAACTATAATCAGCTGAACTATGGTAATTACTGTTTTTTATAAAATCACTAATTATTCCAAATTCTTAGAAAAGCTCCTCCTTGCTCATCTCATGCAAATGCTATATTAATAATTTTAGTGGTCAAGCTATTGTTACAGTTTACGCTTAACCTCATCGTAAGCCCAAGATAGGAAAAGATGGACTAGGCTAGTTAAGGCGGCAAAAGATCTTCAAGGTGTGTAATGCCAACAGAAAAAATAAATAAATAGATATCCTTTGTTTTTCATTAATGTATGGGATATGTTTTATATCATTTGAAAACTGATATCATGAATGAACTATTATAAATTCATCCAATTTAATTTATAGTCTTCATTGATGAAGCAAGTTTTTCAATAATTCTTGTCTATAACCCAGTATAACCCAGAGAAGGGCAAATGCTACTATGAGTACTGAGTACCGTGTGTTTTACTCGAATACTGACATTTTTTTGAGTATCAAAGGATTTAATTAACACTTAAGTTGATGGCAAACGATTAACTGAAGTAGAGATAAATTCCTAATAGTGATTCAATTTGAGTAAAATACTAGGTGTTAGGTACTCATAGTATTATTTGCCCATCTCTGGTATAGCCATGAATCATTTCATTAATTAATTTTCATCAATTGCAGTAACCTGATAAGAAAACTTGGCTTAGGAGTGTAGTATGTACTCGTAAAATATAAGGATATCTAATGGAAAACATTAAAAAATTTTAAGGTTTATTTTTTTTTTTTGGAAATTTGCTTCATCATTCTTTCATACCACTGGAATCACAAAAGTAATTCACTTGCGGTTTTCTTCACGGGGAATAATCTTAGAAAATTGAAACACGAAATAAATAAATAAATCATTTTATTTTCGATATAAAATATATTTACAATAATTTAACATATTTTACATTATTATATAAGATACACATTATTTACACACTATAAAAAATATCTACTCTAGTTATTAAAAAAAAACATTCTCATAGGAAGCTTTCCTCCTTATATATTAAAATTAATAACTTTCAAGCTTTCAAATAACATAATACAATAATATAATAGTTTTAAAAGCGAGTAATTTCATCTGTAACACATTAATAGTGAGTTAATAAAATACTATCATCATCAACTAAATAACTAACAGGTACAAGCTGACTAACTATATACTATATCACAAATAACGAGTATTTTATCACAACTATGTACAATAAATACTTTATCATAGTCGAAGTGAGGAAGTTACACCAAATCTATTCCACGGCAACCGTTTAGCCGTTGAAGTATTTCCTGCAAAGGGATGCCTTTAGTTTCTGGGACCAGAGACCAAGTGAATAGGAAACCTGCGAAACAAAATACTGAGAAGAACCAAAAACACCCAGCAGTGCCCACTGAGGCAATGAGGATCGGGAAGATCTTGACACTCACGAACGCTAGCGATGTTCCCCAGAGAACGATTGTCGAAGTCGCCAGGCCTCTGATATCAATTGGCAGGGTCTCAGAAATCACCACATATGGGACAGGTCCCGCCCCCAGAGCGTAAGTGAGCACGTGGACTGATAGGGATACCACTGGGACCCATCCGAGGTTGGAGACGTCGAAGCCCAGGCTGTCCAGGTAGAAGTAGGCGCCAATGGAAGTCAACGACAAGCCCATGAAAATATACGATATCAGCAAGAGTATCTTCCTTCCAGAGCGGTCCACAATGACAGAACTGACAAAGGAGGCGAAGAGCTGGAAGAGACCGACGATGATGGTCGCCCTCTCTGGTGGAATGGAACTGCCGGCTTTCTCGAAGATGAAGGAGGTATAAGAGAGGATAGCCAGGATCCCGCAGAACTGCTGCCAGGTGAACAGTCCCAAGCCGATCAGCATGCCCATCCTCCTGCCCCTGCTACACACCAGGGCTGAGTAACTGACGCTTCCCTCCTGGCACTTGGTGTTGTAAATGAAGATCTCTTCTTGAACGAACTTGATGTCACCACTGCGAAGCCAAAGCAGCGAGTTAAAAGCTTTCTCCTTTTTTCCCTTAGACCACAAGTATTCGGGAGATTCTGGCATCCAAAAGAACAAGAAGATAAACAGTATCGGAATTGATAAACAGGCGTAATTTAAAGTATCGTAATCAACTACAGCTCCAAGACTGTAAGCGAAGACGATGCCGGCGTTCATGTAAAGTATGACAAACGATCCAAGGGCTCCCCGGATGCTGTCCGTTGCTACCTCGCTGATGTAGGTCGGTGAGAGGATAAGGGCTCCTGATCCTCCAATTCCGTTGATGAACCTGGCGATCAACATGAGGTAGCGATCGTGGCAGAAGGATATCAGTCCCCAACCGATGAGGAAAGGCACTGATACTGAATAACCGCAGAACTTGCGGCCGAATCTGTCTGCTATCCTGCTCCATATGAAGGACCCTGTGATTCCGCCGAGGAAGGTCAAGGATGCCAGCCAGGACACGTCTCCATCGGAGAGCTGGCCGACGGGGCTTCTATCGCTCTGCAGCAGAGGCTGAACAGGCGACGGCCAACCGACGGATGCTCCGAAAATGAATGCCAATATACAGACTGAAAATTAAAAAGACAATTAATTTCGGGGAAATATACACAGACACTTATAATAAATTAACAAAAAGAGCAAGATATATCTCATTGTAATTAAGGGTAAAATGACAAAGAAACACTACAACAAACGATATTTTTCTCTTGAATACTTTCTCTGCTTTAAAATGTATAAATTACGGTGCTAAAAACAAAATAATAACCTAATTTCGTATTTTTATTTTAGTGAAGTCTCATAATTAGCTGAAAGGGTTAGGGGGAGAAAACTCATCTAAAGGAGAGTTATTTTTCTTTTGTAAGAAAAAGGAAGAAAAATCTGACCCGCAAAACAGCTAATTCCCTTGATTAAAAGTTACTTAGTTCTTGCAGTTACTCCTAATTTTACTAAAGCAACATTCCTCCCCTTTTGTTTTACTAGAATAAAAATTAAAGTTTTATTAGTTAAACAAGACTGAAGAGCCGATAAAGATTATTAATTAAATGTCCATTAAGTCAACTACGGAGTTCCTGCTATAAAATCAAATTATTATTTATTACTATATTGTTTGTAAATGTCAACACGCTATTTAAATAACCTACTATGTTAACCAACATATCTTGTGATACAGATTAAATACTAAACCTAATCTGTACCACAGTGCCGATGGGTATTGGGGGCGATGTTGAAGAATGGACTCTTAGGAAGGTCCTTGGAAGAGTGGACAAGATGTAAGGTTCGGGTGTCACTAGCCTCAGCAAGAAACACTCCATTAGTGTAATGACCTCTCTCTTCCTGACGTCATTCCTTCCCTTTTCTTTTCGTCCCTCCCCCTTCGGCTCCAAGTTTCTCAGGAACCAATCGATAACTTTCGGATCTCGAATTTTCCCATCGCAAAGTATAATAATATTACTTCAAACCGTTCTCACCTCTTCGAATTTTGGAATGATGTACATAAGGTGGCAATTAACTAAATAGCAAATTACTAATTAAAACAAAAATTCAATTAGCTATGAACCAGAAAATGATTAAACTGGTTTAGAGGTTAAAAGATCTACAATGACGAAGGGGAAAAAAAAAGGACGAGCAATAAAAAAATCCTAGAGAAGCCAATATACATATACACATTTAACGAAGAAAACGTGTAATTTTAATAATTTTCAAACGTTTTCCTTAAGTTTATTTATTTATAAATATTTCTCCTGAAAGGGAGAAGTCGCTTTGAAAACAGCAAAAGGAGGGGAGAAAAGCCTGAAGGAAGAAGATAAGACGTAAAGATCGTGGGAAAGAGATAATAGGCTCACAAGTGCTTTTCCTAATTCCGTCTCTTGAGCGGGAAGGAACTCATTTTGGTCGAGAAACCGAGGTAGCTCTTGCGTCGAATTACTTCGACAAAACTCGGCTGGGAAACTGATTTTCTTGTTAGAATAACAGTGGTGGAAGAATATTACCTCTTGAATACATTTTAAAATATTATATCTAATAATATTAAAAAAAAACCATTTTAAATTGTCCCGAACCAAAGATATTCTCAAAAAATTATGAACCAATACGTTAAGTATTTATTAATTGAATTCGGCATGCATATAATGTTATTATTTTTAATTTTTAGGATTCCAAAAAAAAAAAAAAAAATGCAAGTACTAGAAAAACTAAGAATACCATATATTATAATATAAACCAGTCTGAAGATATTGAATATTTAATAACGACAGCTTGAATAAAAATATATAAACTTTCCGCTTATATTAAGATTGTGATGAAATTAAGAAATTTTATTTTCATTTCTATTTTTAAAAATTATATAACAATAATTTCAGGAACATCGATTTCCTTTGGATGATAGCCAGAAGCTGTAGGACAAAAAAAAAATCTATTTGTCCACTGTAATTAGTCACAAACACGAGAAAAACACCGAGTTATGAAGGGAAAAAAAAAACTATTCCAGAGAGGTTTGTTTTTCAAATAAAATTTTATAGTAAAATTAAATGAATTTGACTACATTAATCAATGAGTGATCACGAATGATAATGAGGGAGATTAATTCATTCATTAAGATAATTGTAATTATATCAATCGTTATATTTATTCAATCGAAACGGGTTTGAAATACATATTACTTTTTACATATCTCTGAATTTCATAGGTAAATTAAATGTTATGAAACGTAATATAACGAAGGAGTTTTTCTCTTAGTTGTAAAGTTAATTAAAATAACTATAGATGCAAGTTACGTTAATTATCTCAATATTTTTTTTTTACATAATAGGAGGAATAAAATTAAAAATTAATCATGAACTTCCTATAACGATTTTTTTTTTTTAAATAGTTGCATAAGTATAAACAGTAAATATTTACAAACGGATTTTTTATATTACAATAAATTATGTAATAGAAAACAAACTAGTAATATATTAATCTGTTATTTTTTATGTCGAAAAAAGAAATGATGAATTACGAACTCCGAATGAATCAACACAAAAAGCAGCTCCCTTACGTATTTTCCCAAACAGGATTAATTATATCAGAATGTGATTCTTCATCATAATCTCTTAATTGAGAACAAATTCATTGAGTAAGACTAGTAATCGATAAGACTAGTACAAGTGGCTATAAATTTACAACAGTCAGTGCTGTTGATTTACGATCGTAAATATTTACATCCATTTGTTATTATTATTTTGAAAAACAAAACACGAACAAATTTATTTTAATTTTAATTTTTGAGGTTATCATAAAATGAAATTTTATCGACGCATTAATAAAAGAAGTAAAAATAATTAAAATGTATACAAATATTAACAAAGAGTTTACCCTTACTTTTTAGCTCAAATTAATTATTTTTAAAAATTTTCTGATATAAATTTTTTGTACATTATTTATTTTTGAAATTTACTGACATGAGTTTTTAAAAATAGTTATTGTCAGAGAATACTTCATGATATTTATTAAAAACGCCATACTAGTGTAGAAATGACCAAATATAAGCAATCAGGTAACATCATGATTATTTATCCAGAGCCTCTGAGACTCCCAATATAATCGAGATAATTTTTTTAAACAATTCCTTAAGATTTCCGAATTGGCATCTGAATTATCTAAAACCCAATTCGTGGTTAGCCCATGACCCTTGGGGTAAGCAGTAAATGTTTAAACAAGAAGGTCTACAAATGTTTTCCAACTTGCGGGAAAAAAAGGAAATTTCTGGACTGTGTACCTTTGTTGGCCAACTGGAAAAGGCCTTGAAAAACAGTATTTTATTTAATATATATATTTTTTTTATGAGATATTTTCAGTTTAACTGATAAAGAAATACATAGATAAATAGAGTTTTTGACAGAAATAAAACATTTGACGATGAAAATCTTCAAATCAATATTTATTTTTAATTAGACGGAAAATATATATATTTTTTACTAAAATTCGTTATAATAATGATTCAAAAAAGCATGTCATTACTCTATTTTTTTTCTTAATGACAAAACTAAATTTCATTCGCTATCGACCGATTATATACTTCACTGTTAAAGATTTTTTTTTTTAACTTTTATTATGATATTTACAACTGTATTAGTATGAATACATCAAGTAAATGTGTACATAGGAATATTATCACATGAAACACGCTTGTTGAGAAACTATCCATTGGTAGCACTCTAATAATTGTTAAAGATTAAATTAAATTAACGATGACGCCTATTTACTAAAATGTTCCAGTCTAGACAAACGGATACTGTAAACAGATATCAGGAAATCGAAAATAACTGAAGTGTTGTTTATTTGGAATAAATCTTATCAGTTATTAAAATAGTGCCGATGACCCTTAAGTATTTCAGTGCATCTATTCTATTTATGTATATAAAAAAAAAAGTCACCAAGTAGAAAAAAATATATAGAAATTTAGAAAATTTAGAACATCAGCCGTTTTAACCTGAATTTCGAATCGATAATTAGTTCGATTTCGCATAAGTATTCCTATATATATTTTGGGTTGGATAATACTTTACTGAACAATAACAATATAATAACACTAGTTACATAGAAAACAATGACGCATACTTTACATAACTGGATTCTCATGTAACATAATGTAGTAAACAATTTTAAATTATTAATGTTTGGATAGTTGCGGTAATGCAATGGACGACTAACTTTATACATCTGCATTGACATATTTAGTACTTTTTAGTTACTTTTTTTATAAAAATTAAAAATAAAATTATATTTTTATTATGAATATATATTCAATTTATTTTTCCCGACTAAATCGATGTATCGAAAATATATAAAAGAAAAATTGATTTAATTTTAATCGAAACATTAGTTTATAGTTTAAATTATAAACTTTATACACACAAAAAAGGCTACTCATTTTAAATTTTATAGTAAAAATTACTAGTCTTTGGTTATTTAAAATTTATAAATGGAAAAATTTAAGTTATCTAGAAAGCACAAGTAAGCAAGAAGCAGAGGGTGTTCTTGCACAGAAGAAAAAAGATTTATTTTCAACAGTCATCAATTAGGATTTAGTAGGAGTCTATCCTTGCTCTCTATCTCAGAGACTTGATGGACCAAGTGTTCTCAACACTACATATCAAACTTAAGGACCATATATATATTTTACTTTTAATCGCGTAAAAGAGATTTTTTTCGGTGTATTGTTTACAAGTAGTAAAAGGGGGGAGCGAGGGGAAGAATTTCTTTTAATAGCAGAAGGTATGTCGTACATATTTTAAATATAAAACTTGAAAACATTTTTAAGTATTTTTTTTTATAAAAAAAATTATACTAAGTTTTTGGTACATGATTAAAAGAATAATCGAATTATAGATGAGGTGATTTATATTTATGAGAAAAATATATTTTTTTTAAATAATAAGAACCAATTTATAACGTTTCGTTCATTTATTATTTATTTATTTATTATTTTATTTTTAACATTTATATAAACAGTATTCGATATATCCACAAGGACAGAGGAATGAAGTCAACGAGCCAATTAAGTTCTAGATCTAGTTTTATGACCTTCAAGACATGGAAAAGTGGTCAGATATCGATATTTACTAAACTACTTTGCTATAATATTAGTACTCAAATTAATATATATACTTATTATCCATAGAATTATTCATTTATGAAAAAGAGGGTGTAAATTGGTGATGGGAAATAATGGGTTTCGTATCTAAATCTAAATTAATTTTATAATTTTCCTTAAACGATAACAAAGTTAATTCGTATTAATGATAATTGATTTAAATAATTTAAAACAAAAAGTGTCTACGCTTAAGTTTTTTAATTTTTTTTTTAAGTACTGTCAGTAACTTTAGTTTGGTAATTAATAATGAAACAAAAACCATAATGCACAGATTTATAAATTTTGCACAGATTTATTGATTTAGATTAATATAAAATTCATACTTTCAATTTGAGCAAAGGGCCTTAATAATAGTTGATATGTCAGAACGTAGGTCATTATTGAAAAAATTAAATCTGCTAATTGTCACTACCATGACAGGTGCGGATGAAGAATTGAAGACAAAAAAAAAAAGAAAGATTATTACAATATTTTTTTTTAGTTTGTTGTAGTGGATCTATGTAATGTATAGTGAATAATTAGAAAGTATGCTAATATCGTCGGTTTATCGTAAAAAGTCATTAAGTGATATTTTTTAACTTTAACTGTAAATTTGATGAATTTTCACTTTGTAAAATCAGAAAATTGTAATGTAAATATATTTCATATATAAACGAGTTTGAGCAAGTTTTTTTTTTTTTTTTTTTGGTTAAACAAGGTTGAAAACTTCCTTAGTAACTTTTTGCGAAAAACCAACGAAACATTATTTAGTTCAATTTGATATATTTATTTATACTTTAATATGCAAGTATTATGTATATATATATATATATATATATATATATATATATATATATATGACGATATGAATTTCTACATACCTATTGCAGCTGCAAGAGCTTGGCGACCCTTTCCAGGGACGACGCTGGGCGCGACATAGCCTCCTGAGGACAGCGGCCTGATCTCCACCTTAGACTTCTCCATCTGTTCTGATCCGACCATCTGCTTGGCGTCCCCACTACTTGTACTGCAGACTCCTACCATCTCAATTTGAATCGATGACGATAACGGTTGTACTTCTCGGTTGAGCAATGATCTTCAACACCTCCCCGAGGTGTATATGTAGCTGAACCACATTAGCCGAAATCTCTTGGATTAGGCGGATCCTAAGTCGATAATCCGGAGGTAGTGAGCCCGTGGTGGTACTATCATGCAGGTATTACGGGCCTCTGTTTGCATACAAATCTGTCCCGATCGTTGTGCCACGATGTTTCGGCGTGATAGGATAATCTACAATCGTTTCGATTTCAATGAAAGTTGGTGGGAGGGCACATTCGTAAACGTCACTCCTGATTTGGTCTGATACAGATCCATACAGAGAGAATTAGGGACGGTCTTGTATTAGAAGTGTAAGTATATAAATACAAACAATAACATTACCCTATTGTATACAAAGAAAAACAACATTCATTATTAGAACGAAAGTCATTTAATCAAATACAATTTAATAATCGATCAAAATATTTTTCATTCCATATTACATCTATAAAAAAAACATAAGTTTATTCTTTTCAAGAAGTACATTAATTACAAAAGGTATTTATATTGAATAATTATCGAAGACAAGAACATATCTATTTACAATACATCCTTTAATTTACGATAATTATTTAAAAGAGTAATTAACAGTTGGCATCATGACCAATAAAAAGTTCAATCAGCCATTGGTCCGATTCCAAACAGAAAATCACGACATTTTTTTTTGTATTTTTTTTAAATAAGTCAAATATTTTGTTGTGCAGGAAGATATTTAAAAAACTGTCTAATCTAGGCGAGTCCAAATTAAAACCTTGTTAACTATATCATTTTTTAAAAATTAATAACATATTAATATTAATATTAAAACTATTTTTAAGGGGTTTACCAACGTCTAAAATACGGCAAAGTTTTGATTTTCATAAAATGGTGAATTTTTCTCCATATTTCTGTTAGGCTTCGACAAGAATACAGATTCCTTGCTTTTTTAAAAATTAAATTGTTTAATAAGCTTCAATCTATCTCTAATAAAAATAGGCGGTGTGAAATATTTCTCCTCTAAATATAAGTGTTTTGATCAAAAATAATTATAGTCGAGTATTAAAACCTTTTTTTTTTCTGTGTCAGTAAATGTGTTGTAATATATTAATTATTGTAATGGACTTAAATGCTAATTTTTTTAAAAATAATTTCTTTTGCCGAAAACAATGGTACTCTGAGGAGATTGAATATTCTGGAACACATCTCGATTTAATTAACTTGGACTTAAGCTTATTAAAAAAAGAAGTTTTCCTAAGACTGCGGATTTTGAAGTCTTGCAAGGGGTGAAAAAAATCTATGATTTTATTAATCATTAATTAATTAATTATAAATGGCTCTATGATTTTATTATTAAATAATTCTATTTGCATTTGAAGAAAAAATTGTCTAATTTATTACACTGAAATTTACAATGACCTAAATTTAATATTTTATAGTAATTACTTTAAAAAAACATTTTAAAAACTTTTTTTTATTTGAGTGTTTTTTTTATCGAGGAAATCAGTTTTGTTTTTGTAAAATCTTTGCAAATTTACTTCTGCGATTCTTTAATCCTTGTCAATCAAACATGCCAAAACTCTTTTTTTCTTTTTGTTAGTCATAGGCTCTTTCTTCATTTTAGTATTCAGTAGGACTGTATTAAGGAAGGAATGCACAATCAATTTTATATAATAATTGAAAAAATACAATAATTCCATCTCACTAAATACATCAATAAATAAATGAAAAATGTAAACATTTCCACGTGGAAAAGTTTATTCTATTTTATATAAAAATATAGTAAAACTTAAACAACAACTAAATAAAATAATGAGCTATTTTTAATATTTAAGAACTAATTTGTGATAGGGTTAGTAATAATTTTTGTCCAAAACGTATTTAACACAACAGTAAAATTTGATTTCTAGATATTAAAAAAAAAAGTTATAAATTATTGGTTTCATATTTATTAATAATTACACAAAGAAAACAAACAATATTTGATTATAATCAGTTTATCTACTAATCCATGAATTATTCAAGCATTAACTAATTATAGAAATTCAGTATTTATAATCTTGGAATTATTTGAATGATAAAGGCATTAAAAAAAATGTTTTTATTTATTTTTGGAAATATATTTTATGAGGAATACATACATAACAATTATACATCTAAAATTATTTTATTTCACTAATCTTTAAGTTTATTTATTGCATGTTCTTTTTGATTATTATTTTGCTCCTATTTTATTTTATTTATTCATATTTTCTGTAAGTATGGTTTGAATTTAGTCTTTTCTCGCGATATCCATTGTCCATTTTGTGACGGGATATTAAATTACTCAACAAAATAGTTCAAAAAGAAAATATTTGGAATCACTGAATCATCAAACAATTTATGTATGAATAATGAGGAAACTTGAAGCAATGAGGCGGAGAAAAATAAGCCACAGAGTGAAGTCCTTAAACAAACTAAGTATTACTTAAAAACGTTAGGGATAAACATGAACTTTTAAATAAATTTTCTTATTTTATGTTTATACCATGAAACTTAAAATATAACCAAAGGATTTATTGTTTCCAAAATAATTCAACATTTGTGTATAATGTTCATATAATTTCAACTGCCATTCTTCTAATAAAAAAAAATCAAACCATCGATTGTTTATTTCAATCATATTGCTCACATCAAGTTAATAAACAAAATATCTTTAATGCACGCAATTCATTAAGAAAGATTATAAAGGATAAAAAAATAATCAGTCGTTGCAACACGAGCTATATATATCATATTCTCCGCCATAAGTATTTTTATAATGCTTTTCAGAGTCAATAAATTATGTTTTCCTATATGGACTGTTTACTTTGAAAGTTTTTGGGTTTTCTTAATTATCACGTGTACGCTACTAAAAATCATTACAATCATTGTACAATATTTTATTAAGAAATCTAATTCTTATGTCACCAGTAAAATGTAAATTCTTGAAGAAAACAAAATCTATTTTTTAGCATTAATTTTTTTTATTTATTGATATTTACAACTGTATTATAAAAAAAAAAATACAACTAGTAAATGTCCACTCAGGAATATAATAACATGAAATCTCTTGTTAAAGAACTACCCACTGATAGCACTCAAATAAGATTAATAAATAAATATATTTTTTGCACATTTGCCCCACCAGTTACTTTTTGTATCTGTTACGTTTTATATGATTAAATAACAGTAGTTAACATAAAGGAGTAAATAATTTAACAACAGACATAAATCAGACGTCAGGTTACAAGTGGGAAAAATCAAACCACAGAAACTTGTATCTCTAAATCTTTTATATGTTTGAGGTAATGCATATTGCAGAGAAATTAGAAATAACCGTTAACCATAAAACTGATAGCAGGAATTTGAATAAGTTTTACAACGAAACGTTGAACATCTTACGTAAGTCTAATAAACCTAGCTAATTTGCTCTTTTAACTTTGTCAGAGCGATCAGCTGTTTTTTATGATAACCTACCTCTTTGTTTATTTTCGTTTCTCTTTTCTTTTCTCCTTTTTATCTATATTCTTATGGCTTATTTACGTAATTTAGTTAATGTTCTGTTAACAGGTGTTTATATAATGGAAGAATAACAGATGTTTATATAATAGAAGAATAACAACATTGATTCAAATCTAAAAGATAATTTTCTACACTAGTTACAAAAAGTAACTGGAGAGACTTTGCAAAAGACTCGGACACAATATTTTTTTATCTATTCTAAAAATTATATATTGTTTTTTTCAAGCATTGACATTATACTGGTGATATAAGAATTAAGTTTGTTGAAATTATTAAAATCAAACTATACAAATTTAACTTGTTATTTAAAATAAACCCAATTAACACGGTTAAGAATTTTTTGATTTTTTTCTTGAATGAGAAATGAAGAAACAAAATCACCACATTCCTTGAGAAAAACACCGGTTTCGGAAATAAACTTATTCTGTTATATTACAATCTTATTAAGTTATTAAAATCAAACTATACAAATTTAACTTGTTATTTAAAATAAACCCAATTCACATGGTTAAGAATTTTTTATTTTTTTCTTAACTTAAGAAATGAAGAAAAAAAATCACAACATTCCTTGAGAAAAACACCGGTTTCGGAAATAAACTTATTCTGTTCTATTATAAACTTATCGGATGTTGTAATAAAATATTATTCATTGGATGTTTTTACATAGAAATCGATCCAAAAAAAAAAATCTATTATGATTCAATTTATAAATAATTGACTTATTAATAGAATTATATATAGTATAAAAATAGTTATATTTTATCCCATGGCGATATATTTATAGACATTTTTCTTTTCTCTTCCAAAAGTATTTTTGTTGAATTTTATATTTTACAGTTGACTTCTTCAGTAATTTTATAGTGTTTCATCTTTAAAATATAATTGAAATGTGTCCTTTACAATTATATTTTTAAGTTTTGATGTTTTTTAATTTCTAATGAAATAGTCAAATATTTTCGAAAATATATTTGCTTTCTTCTAGTATAGAATTTCTTCTTCTAGAAAAGAATTTCTTCTTCTTTTTTTTTCTTTTTTTAAATTGATTTAAAAATTACAATCGGGATAGAAAATACGATTTTTCATTTTATTTTATATATTTTTTTATGCCTTTCCTGAAAAAATTGTCAAAGATGATTTGGTTTTATTAAGAAACGACTCAAATGATAATAGTAACCTTCCATTTAATTTTATTAATTATTAAAAATAAATCTCGTTTCTCGGCTCGCAATAGACAATTTTAATACGTCTATAAGCATAGAAAAAATCTTTTGATCACCTGAAAAAAATGAGGAAAAGAACACAAACATAAAGAAAAAAAATATAAACAATGCATTTTTCCGATGTAAATATTCTGTCTTCTCATCAGACATAGTCAAACGGTATCTTAGCTGGATTATAATTCTTTTGATGTCATACATTTGCTTGGATTAAGGAGATGAAATATTTGAGAGGGGCTCCTCAGTCGCGTGATAGCAGCCACCCATTTGTTTAATTAGTAAA